CCGTGGGGGACCCACACTGGAGCAGTCCCTTCCTGAAGGACTGCACCCCATGGAATGGACCCAGGCTGGAGCAGTTTGTAAAGAACTGTTGTTCATGGGAAGGACTCACACTGGAGAAGTTTGTGGAGGACTGTCTCCCATGAGAGGGACCCTACGCTGGTGTGGGGGAAGAGAGTGAGGAGTCCTCCCTCTGAGGAGGAAGGAGTGGCAGAAACAACATGTGATGAACTGACCCCAACCGCCATTCCCTGTCCCCCTGTGCCGCTGGGGGGAGGAGGTGGAAAAATTGGGAGAAAAGTTAAGCACGGGAAGAAGGGAGGGGTGGGGGGAGGTGTTTTATGATTTAAGTTTATTTCTTATTATCCTTCTTTGATTTTTATTGGTAATAAATTAAATTCTTTTTTTTTCCCCCAAGTTGAGTCTGTTTTGCCTGTGCCAGTAATTGGTGAGTGATCTCTCTCTGTCCTTATCTCAACCCATGAGCTTTTCATTGTATTTTCTCTCTCTTGCCCAGTTGAGGAGGGGGAGTGATAGAGTGGGCTTTAGTGGGCACCTGACATCCAGCCAGGGTCAACCCACCACAACTTCTTACCAAAGAACATCGAGACCATGATCCCCATTCAGACATAACACAGTCCTCAGGACACGGTAACGTGCATTTTCTGGCACCAAGTGGCATCTCTTCAGGATCACACAGATAGTCCTCTACTGTGTCAGAAGGACCATCCACAGTGTTTAGCATGCACCTGGAAAAAAAGAACTGCACATAAACTGCATTTGCCATGGATTTTTGTACAGTAACTGTATTCCACAGTATTCTGAAGTAGTTTAACATTTTGTCAGCACATAAAAATCATGAAGTAATGGAAGTAACCGTACAAAGTATTGATCTATGAATATCCAAGAAAAGCTGAAAAGCCAAAAATAATCCTAATTTTTACAGATGACAGACTTATAAAGAAATGCAGAGAATTCAGACACTCTATCAGTGATTTGCTGAGTTTCTGGACAGGTGATTTGCTTGACATTTGCTTAGCTCTAAGCCAGAATAATGCAAATCAACATATGTTGTGCACTCTTCAATTGATAATTTTAAATCTAGAACTATTAAAACTTTAAGAATTTTATATTCTTAGTATTAACCCCTAATTTACACAGATGCTTGGAAAGTACCATTATCTTAAATTATCAGGTGGATGCCCAGTTAAGATGAGAAATAAATATGCTTAGTTTTGTAGAGCTGAAGATGACAGTCTTCATTCCACAGTATTTCCAATGCTGTGGCATCTACTGTTAATTTATCAATTCCACCTGTCAGCAAAAGAACAACTAGTGCATGACTAGGATCATTCAAATTAAGAGGTTTGTATCTGTTTTCCAGAATTGCAAGAGAAAAGCTCATATCAATAGGAAGCCTTTCACACACAGAGAAATATTTGGAGTTTCTTCCATTCAACCACATTAATTTTTTTTACAAATATCTTACATTGTCAGATTAAACTAATTTTTAAAACACTGTTCTAAGGTAAACACAAGAAATACAGCATGAACATAGATTAGCTTTGTGGAATTAGTACTTTAATGGCATTATTTGATAATAAGTTAAAATTAGACGGTTTTAGTCCCAAAGGGCTGAAAACTCTCTTTCTTTATCTTTGATGGTAAAGTCTATTTTTCAACACAAACACTAATTTTGATTTTTCATACTGGAGTTTTTCTAGAAGTATTCTTATGGGAATTTGTTTAGATGCTACTGTGTGAGAACCGTTATGCTTAGTCTTTCTAACTGTGGACAAGCAAAGATTAAGACTTTGACCTTCTTGAAATCAGTGGTTACACTGAGGAAACGGTGCTATTATGAACAAAATAATGTAAATGTGCCAGTTTCTAACCACTTGTGGTAGGGAAAAGAGAATATTTAGCAGTTCACTGCATACAGCTCTCATTTCGGATTTTGAAACTGAATTCATATTATGCTTTATTAATTATTCGTATTTATAAACTCAAATTGCGTATTGCTTTGCGGTTAGCCATTTAAAAAAATAAAACAAACCTCAAGCAACCCAAACTCCATGCACTGCTTTACTTGCTGTTGTGCCACACCATGTGAGACTAATTTTAATTAACTTTTGATTAGAGCTCTAGTATGATGAGTAAGTATACAAGATGCTTAGATCAGGTTCCATAAACAACAGAAGATTTCTGGATATTTCTACTTCACTTCATTGACTTTTGCCACTTTTTCCTCTGATATATGTAACTATTATTCCCAAGTGCATGTGTACTTAAAAGGGTTTTTAAATCATAGTTTAATATAGAAAGACTGTTTCACCTTTCAAAAAAGTGCTAAAGTCATATGTTAACAGTGTTGTAGTTTAAGTACAATATACATTAGTTTATAAACTAGGAAGCAAAGTCTATATCCATAACCAGTAGACAGATTCATATTGCACTCACTGAAGCAACTCTGATTTCCATCAGCCAGGGTTCTGATCCAGTACTGTGGCTGGACTTAACACCATACATTACACAGAATACATCAAATTAAATACACCCATGACTGAAAGTGAAGGTTCTCTAAAGAGAAGGAGGAGCAATGCTGTTTTACCTGACTTTCCTTGTTTGAACACCTTCTCCACAGTTCTCTTTTAAGTCCACATTAGTCACCTTGCAGACACTCCAGGGCTCAGTAACCCATACGTACTGGCTGCAGTCACTGTGGCAGGGGACTACCTCATATACCTGGAATCCCCATCATGTGTCAGTTTTGTTGTACACAAGTAAGATAAACATGCAACAGTGATCATGCAAAAAAAGGTTAATGGTTTTTTTTGTAAGAATAAAAAATGTAAACTTGCTGATTTAGAGGCTATAGTAATAATACAGATAAAATACTTGATAGGAAAACTACAGAAATAGCAAAAAGTCAGAAGCTAAGACATCTAATAACAGATTCCCTAGTTTTCTCTGCCACTAAGCCCATGCTCTGCCATTTCCACCAATAACATCAACACAACTAACATAAAAAAACCTCTAATTAGGTTAGCTCATGAGTATACCTTTCAGAAAAATGCTGCTCAAACTCTGCTAAAACTGTACTTCTATCCTTCACATCTCTCCTTAACTATTCCATCCCACTGTTGTTAGTTGTGGGGTTTTCGTATGTCTCAAGAGAGGTGAGCTCAAGGTAAATTATACCAATATATACTGGCTCACTTTATTTTTCAGTGTGGATTCTTAAAATCACTCTAATATATTTGTCTACCAGCATTAGTATTATGTTTATATTTGAATATAAATTTGAAATAGTATCTCATATAGTAATTTATACAATGTTCCATATATTTTCTCAAACATATATTACAAAAAAGGACAGACAACGTAAACATTGGAGCACAATCAGGAAGCACACATTAACTCTCTATTTTAGAAACTCTTACCTGAGCCTGAAGAAAGTATTTTCATGAACCCAAAAGAAAAACCAAAGAAAAAAAGAATAATTAGTGAAGCACAGGTATTTAAATTGTTTTCATTTAGCTTTTATTACAAACAATATTCTATGACTTCTGCCAAGAAAAAGGCACCAAATTTTTCCTCTTGAATCTCCCTTGCTGTCAGGAGGCATTTTTGCAAGAAGTTTGCCCTTGCAAGAAAATAGAAGTTTATAAATTACAACTAGTGGGAAGAGACTGTACATTAGGCAATCTCTTTCTCAGTCCTTAACGCACGACAGAACTGTTTTCCCTTTTTGCCTATAATGAGTACCAGCTCTTCAAACAGTACGGAATCCAGGTACCCTAAGACAAGAAAATCCTCAATGGTTTTGGAGGATTCTGGACCTCTCTATTAATTGAAACTGTTTTGACAGCATTAAGCGCAATAGATTCGGGGCAATAAAAGGAACTGTCAATTCTCATCTTTCCGAAGTTCCTGAGTCCTTCATTGAGTGTCTTAATTACGCAGAGATTACTTAAAGCCCATTGCCTCAAAATTATCTTATATCATCTAACTTCACATATCATTCTGGGTACCAAGTCAGTACAGCTTATAGTTCTAGACAATCTAAGACACTGTCTTAAACAAGTCCTTGATTTCTTTTAAGCAGCACTGCTTGGGCAGAAAAAGAAGGCTGATAGTTTGATAGTTTATCAGTCAACCCGCAACAAAATACTACCAGTCACAAAAAAGAAAAAAAAAAAGAAAAAAAAAGTGCCTTGAATAATGAATGTGTAGAGTGTCTCGTATCACTATGCAGATGATCAGATCATGCACAGGACAAGCACAGTGAGCATATTTGGGCCTTCTTTGAACTACATGAGTATTAACTCTTTTGTAAAGTTGGGTTGTGTAAATGCATGTTAAGGAAGGTACTGGACTCAGTGCACAATTTGTAGTCACGTGGAAAGTGGCACCTGATTTATTCTTGTCCAGGACTTCCAAAATGAGGATAGGGAAGCCTTAATTTAGGGAAATGTCTCTATATGTCTCACCCCGGGTTGGCATAAGAAGAAATACATAAGCACCTCATAGTCAACAGCCCTTCCAGTAACATAAAAAAATTATATCTTGGTCGAAAGCTACAGGAGAATTCTATATTGCATTGCGTGTGTTTAGTGGTGTTCTCCTGACCCTACCGGCATTTTCTGTAACTACGACTGCAGGCCATGGCAGTTGGGTGGCATAAGGACTGCATACCCACCTGCTGGATGAGGGGACAAATAATGCCTGGAGTCAAGGAAGAGAGGGATGCCCTTATTTTTGCTAACAGTCTCAGATTAACCTTTTCATTTGAAACCCTCTGAATGTCATTGATGTAATTTTATAATAAACCTGACTATTATTACTGTAATTATGAAGACTTTTAGCCTAGTGAAGTGAATATTGAGCAAGCTTTATTCAGTTGGAGTGTGGTTTGGGAGTTACCCTGGCATGCATGGCCCAAGAGAAAAGACACTCAGTAAGACATCTAGTATTCACTGTGTTCAGTACCTCTCCAAAATACAGTCATACATGTCAGCCCTGAGAGACATTGAGCAACTTGCTCTTAAAACTTGACAGAAGTCTTAAGCGCTTTATTTCAGTGTTTCACTAGCTTTACCGTTAGTTTTCCCAAGGCTTAACCCAAATCTGCTTGCAGCAGTCTAAGCCTACTTCTTTTTATCCTACCCACGATGGCCATGGAAAATGGATTATTTCCTCCTTCTTTACAACCACCTTTTATGTACATGCTATCAGACTGCCAGCATCCTTCCTCCCATCT